TCGCAATATACGAAAGCTGCAAGATGGGCGTTTCCCATTCGATCCCTAGTACCCATTGCTTCTTCCTTCTCTTCCTCTTCGTATTTAATTCCTCCCTCTTCGCTTCGCTTTTATCCCAGGTAAAATATGTACCTACATATCCACACTTGGACTCGATCAGCGAAACAAAAAAAGATCGGAAAAATCGAACCCCTGCGGTACCTCAAAGTCAAGGAGGGTCTTCTTCCCGATTCTGATTCTGATGGTGCATAGATGCATAGAAGAGATATATTAAACCTGTAGCCTTGAGATTGAGTGCTTCTCTGTGACACGCAGAAATCGCTTTATTTTTTCTTTCTCTTAAGCACGACGATCTTCACCGACGTACATCGGTGCCTCGATTGCGACGAGTGAGACTAGAGTGCTTTATTCCAAATAAGACAATAAAATAAAAACACGCAGAAAAAGGGAGGGGGAAGGGGGGGTGGGTGTTGGTCCGGATTTCGGAGAAGGCAAAGGAAAAGATATCCATGTGAATACTCGTTTCCGAAGAAAACGGGTTTGGCCTGTCAACAATGAACATATCGCATGCCCCCCCGGCGCCTTCCCCGGTCTAAAGATATTCCGGTATACAGAAAAAAAACAAAAACCGGGGCAGTACACTCTATAGACTATGTTTCAACGGGATCACCCGATTTGTCCCTGGTGCTCGCTCGCTCGCTTCTCTGTCTGGTTGTGACGTAGCGAGGGAGATAAGAAAGAAGCTGAGGCGGCGATAACAATATAACGAAATATGCATATTGGGACTCGTTGTTCTTTCAAACTGTTTTTTTTTGTTTCCTGCACTATTGTATTATATTTTAATCAAAAAGGGCAGCTAACCAATCTGCACATGTATAAAAACAGAAAGAGTAAACAAGAAAGTTTTTGGGGGAGAGAAGTTAATTGAAACCTTTCCCGGAAAGGATCAACTTATAGAAGGTAAGAAAGGGAGATGTAAGTATGGATCAATTGACAATGAGGAAAAGAAAATAAGGCTCCTAATAAGACAGTGATATCGAGAAAAGCCAGAAACCGCTAAATTCCACGTTTCCGGCCAGTAAACGTCAAGGAAAAAATAAACGAACCCAAAAAGCCACCCATTTCAGCACCAGCCTGAACACGCAGCCTGCGGTTAAGTACTCTAACGCCCACAAAGTAAATAAAAGCAAAGATAAAAAGACAAACACAAGGAAAGAATTCAAAACACCAAGAGATCAAAAAAAAAAAAAAAAAAGGAAGATGTCCAGATCTGTTCCCCGAGCTCCAACACCACCTATGCTCAAATTAAACAACACCGATATTTTTTTTCTTTCTCTCTTTTTGCCCTCCCCCCCCCCCCCCCGGACCCCCCATTGCACTCCTTAAAAATTTCGCGCCATTAACAAAAACCAAACAAAAACCGTGGGTATCCTTTTTTCGTTCCGTACTGCCGCTTCTGCTTTTGTTACACCGACTCGTGCGTCTTTTATACATGTCAGATAGTAGTCATATTCAGTTGATATCGTTGTCGTTTTCCTCTGCTTCTTTCTTGTCCTTGTTCGTCCAATGGTAGTAGTCGTCTGTGAAGAGAAGGGTCGTAGAATCCATTTCTGCTTTCAAAGCGCGAGTCCGGTTCCATCTCCGCACCATCTGTAAAGCTGTAGCACCTCCCGCCTCTTCTGCTTCTGCTCCTCCATATCCTCTGGTGCGCCTCTGCCGCGCACCTGACTTAATGCGCTTCGCATGACCTTTCGGAAGTTTCTCTATTTGATATGTCAGAAAACAAGCTTTTCGGATATAAAGGTGAGGGAATAGGTACATACCTGATACTCTGTATTTAGTGTTACCACACAAACTTCATGCGCCCTAACGATTGTTTCACAAGCAGTGACGACAGCACCCGACGCCTCACCCTGCAGCTTATCGGCGATCAGGAGCAGCAAAAAGCTACCCTGCAGCAGGTAAATCCCAAAGAAGTACGGGATGAAGCTTAGGTCCGGGTCGTACTCGAGAATGTTGCTGATAGCTTCAGCGGCCGAAACAGCATGTGCGGTGGAGCTGATAAATGATTGCGAAGAGATCCAGAGGTCGTCATCGTCAAGCATGCTGATAGGATCCCACTTGCCAGAGAGGAGGATGTGGAGTACATGCATTACGTGAGTCCCGTATGACACAACAATCTTCAGCTGGATGTCGGCCTCCGAAAGCTGCTTATTCCCCTCTTTGGGCCCCTCCTCACTAATCCCGCCTTCAGTCCGTTCCTTGATCGCCGAACTGTTGGCCGATTCAAACTCCTGCAGGCTGCGCGAATACGTATCCAACTGCTGGGTGATCTGCTGTACCAGCTCATCGTAGCCTCCGCCAAAGGAACCGGTACCCTCAGCACCAGCCTGCCTCACACCAAACTTGGGACGATTCCTGGCATGGTGGAGGTCCACTATTTCCCCAAGAATCGTCATAAGCGGTAAAAAAACTCGAATAAGCCTGTTCCCGTGACCTCAAAGTTCGACGGCCCGAGACGGCGATGCGCTAGACCGCTATGTGACGGAGAGGACGGGTGCTGCGCGTACATGTTGTGAGGGTCGTGAGTATAAAAGTCTCCATTCTGCCAAGCAATATCGTCCATAGGCAGGTAAAAGGTTCTCGCACTCTACATCTAAGAGCGCAATGGGGCGGTTGTAGCATAGAGCAAGGTGGCGATCTACCACATAGAGCAGCCACCATGTCCGCCTGCGCTCCTCCTTATCCTCCTCGCTGACAGACATGCGGCCATTGCTGACCGTGTGATGTGAGTGGACGCTTCCCGGGCCTGTATCAGAGGGCGAGTGATGCCCATCCATGTCGTCCTCGCCCATCTGGTCAACCAGACTTTCGGCGGGGAGTTCGCGGTTCAGCTTCAATTCCCTCGCCAGTGTCCATGCTGAGTGCCACCATCGTAGTGATGCGCTCTTGAATTCGCTCGCTGAAATCACAATACCGAGATGCGCATATGTGAGCACATCGTCCAGGGTTCCCGCCGCACCTACACCTTCCCGGCCACCGCCAGGTGCACCTCCAAGTCCACCAAGGCCAACACCTGCGGAGCCGTTCTCAGATTCTCCAGAGGGGTGGTGTCCGTGGGGTGCAGGCTGTGTCAAGTTGACATGTACAAGCGGCCGAAGAAGGCTAATGCATATCTCAAGAAGCTTCTGGCACACTCTTCCTCGTGCAGCAGGGGAGGCAGCGAGGAAAGGGGCATCGCATGTCTGTGCAGCGACCCAGAGCATGGCGCAAAGGAGAGCGGGGGAGGTCTGTCGTGGGTTGTGGGGGTGGAGGAACGAGCGCTTCCGGAAGATATGGGTTAGCACATATGGGGAAGCTGGCTGGAAGAACGCAGTCGTAGGATTCGTAAAGTACAGATCCAACAGGTCACACGCAAGCAATGGTGGGATAATCTGTGTTATGTGTGGTAGTAGCGGCAACAAGACCGGATACCTTATACCAGCTGAATATGACTGCGTCGGAGGCGAGGGCATAGAGAGCCATGACGGCGATCCATCCTCAGGCGAGTGCCCACCCAAAAACCCTGACAATGGTGACGCAGCACTCTGTTGAAAATTCATCGCGTGACTCGGGTGACCCTGGGGTGATAGCACAAACTCATTCACCGGAAATCCATTCGCCGTGGCAGACCCTGGCTGCGATATACCCCCATGCGCCGACTGCCCCGGCATCATTCGTGATGGCGCCCCGGCGCCGTTCGGCGATTGATGTTGGAATGGGGACATACGATCGAAATGCATGGGCATACCCGAGGGAACGCCATCGTGCGACAGTTGTAGTGATGGGGATTCAGGAGTGGGAAGGTGGTGGTGGTGATGTTGTTGCTGTGGGGGGAGGTGGTGGTGGTGCATTTGATGCTGCGACATGTCGTGGAGATCACCGAGCGACGTTCTAGTGCTTGCCGCGGATGACGATTGCTTGCGAACGTTGCTGCTACCAGGCCGGGGCGGCGGCGGCAGGTCGGAAGACGCCCGACGCATGTCCGTTGGCGAGGAATTGTCCATCTGTTGCGCTGCTGCAGCGGCCGCAGCCTGTTGCTGCTGGATATCCTTTCGAGAAGCTTTACCTCGCTTCTTGCGCTCGCGCGCATACTCGCACTTTAGTGTGAAATCTGAATCATCGTCAGTGAACCAAACCAACCACCCCACCAAAAAAGCAAAGATTGAAAAAAAGAAGAAAAGAGAAAAAGGAAAGAAAAAAGCGCAACCGAGAGAAAAAAGTACGCAACAGTCGGGGAGATCCGGGGTACCTACCGACACAATGCTGACACGGCAGTTTCCCATCGCACTTTGTGCGGAGCTGGTTACACTGGTCGCAGGCCCTACTAATCCTCCTCCGGATCGGGCCGGGCGTTATCTGGTTCATCTGTTGCCCATTGTTAATCCTACCATCATCATCGTAGGGATGGTTATGACTATGGTGGTGATTGTAGTAACGTGCCTGTTTTGAAGATGATTTATGAGAAGATGATGCCGATGAAGATACAGAAGACTGATGGGACATCCCAACCGGTCCCTCGTTCATCATTGCGTCCCCGTTTGACGAAGGTAGCGACTGGAAATGTGGACTAGGTGCGTACTGATGCATTGCCTGTGAGAGCATCATTTGTGATTGATGGCGATAGACAGATTGAGGAGTGAGTGAGTGTAGGCCAATTAATACTTTAGTCCCCGAGCAGATATTAGATATCAGATGAAATGAGAAGGGCAGATCAAGTATTCAAGAAGAATAAGACTATGGCGGTGACTATGGCCAGAGTACTGAAGTCGTGATAATAGCAATAGATAATCAACGAACCACTGTGGTAGCAGTTTTAGATGAACTGCTCCTGGGTAAGTTAAAATAATATGTGGGAGGTGATGGTAGTGGAGAAGGATGTTGGGTGATGCTTCTCCAGCTGATGGGATGGGCGGGAGGAGTTTATCTTCAACAACCTGGGGCAACAAGCAAATAAGAGCCTCTAAAGAGTGGGGAGAGGGGGAGGGAAAAGAGCGGAGACGGTAGCAAGGGGGGGGGGGGGGGACGAATGGGGATTTAGTAGAGATGAAGGTGGCGGCAATTCGTGACCGGTGGTAGAGCACTCTAGAGGTGGTGAAGACCCTCGTCGTTCTTTCGCTCGTAGTGGTGTTGCTGCTACTTGCTGCTTGCTGCTCCGATAATCACTCGTTGCGCTGCTGCTGCTAACCCCAAATCAAGAGCAATCAAGCACTCGATCTAAAAAAAAACTCAATACCCTCGTGAACGGTAACCAAAAAAAAATTCAGTGGCAGACCCGTGAGAGTAGAATAGGCGTCCAGCGAAGAAAAAAAAAGCTGCTGTTAGGACGGATAATCAGTCAGTTGGCGCTCTCTATCTATGTATGCGTGCGCTCCCTATCCTACAATAATGTGGACACCACAATTTCAACCCCCTACCCCCCCCCCCCCAGACCGACAGGCGACATGAATATGAGAGAGTTCAAACAAGAGTGCACTGCCTAGGAGGGGTGTGCCTGGCTGGCTTGGGGTGGAGACAGCAGCGCTAGACCCAAGCAGGTCAGTGCAAATGCTCTCCACCTCCACTTCCCAAATACTGGGTTAGGGTTCGGCGTGCTGGGGTCTCAGGAAGGAGGAGTAGGCTGGGACGGGTGTGTCTGGATGCACATGTAAGGAATTCACACGTGCAGGGGAGTGCATGAATCGTGGCATGAGAGGTTCTGCTGAGATGCAAAGCCGTTCGATGCTTGCCTGCCTTGCCTTGGCCTGCACTTAGGGGAGAAGGAACAGATGAACAGAGGAGATGAAAAAGAAAATTCATCCCGATGAAAAGGAATGGGGAAACTGATTTGAAGGCTGGCATAGGATAAGGGAAAAGAGGTACATAGTGGGAGATAGAGATGGAAAGTAAAAAACGGGACTCAAAAAGGGACGGAAAGGAAAGTGGTATGTAGGTACTGTAGCTACATGTAGAGTAACACACCTTCTTCTCTGTCCGACCCGATAGAACGTTCGGGGGTACAGAACACTGGGGGGTCGTTATCGAATTTGCAGCTTTCTCGCGTAAGAAGCAAATCCACTTGCTGCTGCAAGGCTGTCTTGTTTGCTTTTTTTCTCTGTCTTGCTTTTTGCTCTTTACTCTCCCTTCAGCGTTAGGATATTTCTGACCTCACTTCACCTCACTGACCGAAAAAAAGAGAAGTCAAAACCCTGCGTGTACCCCAGACGGGCACGTTCTAGAGTATCGATATTCGACTCAAACAGTTTTATGATTACGAATTCGGGGTTCTATTCTTTCGAGATGAAAGGAGTGAGTGGGCACGGCCACAGACAGAGATCCCGCACCCAATTATCTGTCTCTATCTGTCATGTCACGTATGTCAATTGACCTACCCTCTTCTTCATAGTCAAGGGAGACCTCTCTACTTACTAATTGATGCCCCTCTAGTCCAGAACTATGCTCCTTCCCTCCCTGTACATCTCGTCCCCGTCAGTAGGTACATACAATCAGCACTATCGTGCCTTCCCAAAACCACATACCAATTGCTTTAGTGGCGTACACCGCGTGGTACTATTGATTGTCACTTTAGTCTACTTTGCTCCCCAACCCTGCCTAGACTACTCGTCAGCATCAATCCATGGTCAAATAAACACCCCGGCCGGTGGTGTCGGCTAGATCCCCACAAACAAGACAGCTGACAACATGACGATGAAATGAAAGACACGGACGGAAAAACAGGCCTCCGTTGTACCTGAACCGCAACACCCCGCGATGATAAAAGTGGCACTAGAAGATGTAAACCAAGCAGCTAGGCAAGGGAAAAAAAGCTTTCGTGGAGTATGACCAGGCAAGGGTTCAACGGCCGGCCGAGTCGGGCATACACGCAAAAGAAAGTCACCAGTCCGAATGAGATACCCCGCCACAGTTTTTGCTGCGCCGAGAAAGAGTACCGTGACATATCACCAAAATACAAATCAAACGATAACTGTGAAAATATCAAAACACTAACCTAGCTAACCTAATCGACACCTTAACAAAAGTAATTGCGTGCTAACAAGATTCCAGCAACGATTCACGCGGTCCTCTGCCGAAAGCCGTTACACCCTCCCCACACTAACTAGTTCGGCTTCCGAGAAAGAAGCCTCGGGTCGGTACCGAATTCCCGGAGGGAGCAAATGGGAGTAGTGAGACAGTGCCGAGAAGACACTATGGAGATGGTGAAACGCCTTGTTGATACGATGATTGGAGAAGGGATAGAGAAGTAGAACGGTTTATACGAGAATCAATATCGAAAAACAGGCTCGCCTAGTGCAGCTCAGCTGTAAACGAGATTGGCAACGGGATTAACAGGATCGTTAAAAAGTTCTCTCCTGGCAGACGATTCTACCTCGTCATAAGACCTTGCACCATTCCGTATATGCCTGGCCTAGCTAGGTGCACGTCCAAATATTCAAGAAAAGGCAAAAAAAAAACGAAAACGAAAAAGAAAAAAAGAAAAAAAAATATTACTGCGTTAGAGATGGACCGAGTTTGAGACAGGAGGCCCGAAAACCCGAAAGTCAGACTTCATATGTGAATTCCACTTTTATCTCTCACGACCATTTTCTACTATACTGACTCTTCCCCACTCTTTCCCCAACATAACCACGGGACGAAAACGCGTTTTGGGTGTTTACGAATGACAGATAACTGTGGTCCATCTGATCATTTTAATTCATGCCTACCATTCCCCCTCTCGCAAGGACAAATGGGTGTTGGACCCGTCATAGGTTCTGACGGAAAATACAAAAATATACGTATACCGTATCTTGTACCTGAAAGCATACCCCGAGTCCCAGGGACCCAGATTCAAGCATGTGGGCCAAAGCTAAACGCTCCTCCAGCCCTTAGATACCTGCCTAGTGGGATGGCAAGATTATGCACCCCAGCAACCACCCCGCATAATCGAAGGATACTTCTCCTTTCCCGATATGGTAGAAGAGTGAGGATCTGAACTTGATTCTAGCACAACAAGATCATACTTTGGAGTCTAGAAGGGGATGAGATACGGCCAACGCTCGATCAACCAATTTGATTTCCTCAAGGGGTGCTCTTTGTGACCTTACCAACCTTACCAAGCAGAGTGACAGATATCCTGCATTCACGCTAGACGCTGGATGGTGTGGAGGGGCGTGCTCCCGGGACGGGCGCGGCCCTTCTTCCTTGGCTCTAGACGGGAAGCTATTCTAACCACCTTTATTTCCAAGTAAGGACGCTTGGGAAAGTAAACATACTTTTCGGACCGGATCATCAATGGACGGCGTCGGCACCGTTTGATCAACCATACCGCAATTCAAATTCATGAGCCCCTTATTTAAAATTGTTTCCTAGAAATAATTTACAAATACTCTACAGCTAGGGAAATACAGTGCCTTTTTTCGCGATCTCGTTCCGTCATATGCGGCACCTTTGATTTGGGCATGAGGCGCAGTGAAGCTGGGAGGCAGCTGGCTGTACCTACATTTATGATACGTGACACCAGGCCAGAAGGAATATTATAAATATTATACATGAATAGTAGTACCTATATAAATGAAGTTAAACAAACGAGTAGTTTCCTTTCATGTTCTTTAATTCACGTACGTATACATATATCTCTCTCTAACCCTACCTATACTATCACTGGTACTGTACTCTCAAATGAAGTCGCGGAGATGATATAAATACATATATTTACTATTGCATTCAGGTTATACCTTGTATGATAAGTACCAGATCAATTTGTACCTGTCCCATACCTAAGTGCGTACATGTGGTGACAGATAGGCCCACAAGAACTGCACCACAAGGGCGAAATTTGGATCTAATCTCGCGCCTTGTCTTCCCCCCAGCTCCCCCTCCCCTTCCAAACCTCCAGATTCAAGTAAGGCGGGTAGGCAGGTGTCAAATACTACTATAGACTAGACTTGCTATTTGATTGTCCCCCTCTTAAAAAAAAAAGATGTGTCTTGTGCGTTGACAGAATTCACCCAGCAACGTGACCGGAGCATTTTCAATTTAGCAAAAATACGTTTAGTCTGTCTTTTCGTTCTTGTACAGACTTCTAGTCCCTTCCTTCACGTCCCTCCACCCAACCCAACCTATCCAAGATACATCATACAGAGTCTTTGAACAAGGATCTTGGGGCAATTCAAGGGCTCGGGAGGGAGCTCATGTCGTTTTTTCCCACCCCCTCTCTTACCACAGTAGTTTTCTCGGTAATGTGGGGGCCGGATTATCGTTTTCGTCTTAATATATTTCACGGGGTACGGGGCCGAGTCTCCGCCGGCCGGCCGGTTCTGGGGTGCTTGGGGGTGTGGTGGACAAGTAAGAGTGGGTAGGGTAGGGTAGGGTAGGGGTTTACTACTGGCCGAGCCAACGCTCTGGGTTGTAGTAATAATAGAACTGCATGGTTCGGGTTGGGCGCGCTGGGAGGAGATGCATGCAGAGGCTGACCTAAACTGTTGAGTACATATTACACTACATATTTCTACATATGCATCCCATCTTCTTCACCGCGTTGAAGCTGGAGTGAAAGAAGGGGGGGAGGGGGGAAGGCAAAGTCACAGATCGTAATCGTATGCCTGTGGTGAAGTCACGTAGAGTCAGTC